CCAGTACCTGGAGGCCAACCTACAGTCCCACCAACTCGAAACGGGCACCTCCTTTCCCCTTCTTCAACAAGAACCCACCAACACCGGGATCCTCGCCTCCGAAACATGGCTCAAACGGGTTTGGATCCAGCTCGACTCATTGGGCATCAGAGTTGAGATCTCCTCACCTCCCTTGTGCCTCCACTGTGCCAACGATCGTCTCTTGATGGACATCTTCATTGATGCCTTGGTCGGCCAAGAGGACTTGCTGTGGCTCAACTGGTGCCGCCAATACCTCCAAGTCACCACCCTCTCGGAACTCACCACCGCCGACGGTTGTTCCCTGACGGCAGTTTCTCTTGCCGGCCACCCTTCCGGACACTTTGTGACCAGCTACAATTGGCCCCGAACCCGACGCCCTGGCCCCTCTCATTGGGACCTATGGCGACGCGTCCTCTCTTAAGCCGTTCTCCGCCCCTACAGCCGCGTCGCCGATCGTTGCAGCCCCTCGGACCGTGGTCTGATTCGCTGGACTGCTGGATCTGGCTCTTCTCTCGCACCGCTTCGATCCTCTTCCATTGGACGGACAAAAACTTGGCAATCTACCGACCCATCAACTCGCGTTCCCATAAGACCTTCCGCAGGGATCTTCATCATACCTGGACGGGAACCCTTCCCGGGACGTCCAAAGGGCGTCAGTCAACCTTCACCCACGGACAGCCTACGTCACTGTCACGGGCATAGCCCCGGTAGATCCACCAGATCAGGAGTCCTTGCCAGCCTCGATCCTTCACATCTGGAGGGAATTGGCAGCTGACATGGACGACGATTGGGGATGGGTCCCGGAATTCATCTACATTGAGGGTGACGAACACGTCCTACTGGAGGCACTGGAGAAGGGAAAGCTACAGGTGATTAGCGATGGCTCCTTGAAGCAACAAGTGGGCACAGCCGCAGTCCAGCTCCGGACTAGACGCGGAGGGCACGTCATCTGGATCAAATGCCGTACTCCTGGTAAACCAGAGAATCAGAGTGCGTACTTGAGCGGACTTATTGGTTTGTTAGCTGGTATCTTGGTGGCTTCTTGGCTCCGCTTACGCCTACAGTCCCTCGCCAAGCCACGAGTCCGTGTGGCGTGTGATGGGATCGCTGCGCTTCGCCAGGCCTTCTTGACTTGGCCGCTGTCTCCAACCGCCCCACACTTCAATCTCTTGTCCTCCATCCGCGAGGCCCTCCAAGTTTCCAACATATCCTGGGCCAAATAACACGTGGGCGGCCATGCTGACCCAACCAAGACATGGCGACAGATGTCTTGGTGGGAACGACGGAACTCCGAAGTGGACAACATTGCCCAGGGCTACGCCGACGAGCTGATCGCCACCGACAACACGATTGCCCAAGTCATTCTCCGAACCCTGTGCAATCTACATTGACAACAAGAAGGTCTCCTGCCTGGCCTTGGAATTGGTCGACAAAGCCGTTGTCCTGCCCGAATTGATGGAATACTGGGCAGCCAAAGGCCGCCTCGCTCCCGAGACCTTCCCATTGGTGGACTGGCCGATTGTGCACCAAGCGATGAAGCCTCTGAAGCCCGCCAAACAGCGTTTCATCACAAAACACACCGTTGGCATGTGCGGTGTCAGCAAGTTCCGTAAACAATGGAGTCTTGACTCTGAGAACCAATGCCCCTTGTGCGGACTGGAGGAAGACCACCTACACGTCCCTTGCTGCCCTTCCGACCGGGCCAAGACCCAGTGGCAACTCCTACTCCAAGAACTCCAAGAATGGTTCCAGTCCACCACCACTGCTACACCCATCGCCCAATTCCTCGGGGCCCTTCTTTGCACCATCCGCACCCCTAACAACCTGCCTCAAACAGAGACTCCGTGGTACCGCCTACACGGAATGTCTTCTTCCGCCCTCACCCAAGTCTGTGAGGCTCAACTCCGCCTTGGCCCCCAATGCCTCCTCGAAGGCCTTCTCGCCCACGGCTGGGCCGACCACCAGCAACAATTCTACCGCTCTCGCGGTAGTCGCCGATCCGGTAACCGCTGGGCTGCCAATCTATCTCGACAGCTCATCCTTATCCGTAAAGGCATGTGGAAGCGTCGCAATGATGTCTTTCATTCTGACGACAACATCGTCAACCAACAGCGCGCGACTGCTCTCCATCCATCGATCACGCCTTGTGGAAGTCCTCCGACTCCAACTGGCGGACAAGGAGGAATGGGTCCTCGTCATCTCCGACGCCCGCCGCAAAATCAGACGATCTCTTGCAGGCAGGCGACGATTGATGTGGGAACTGACCCACCCTACTCCTCGCCCAGCAGCCCCCTGACTTACTTGTCTACATATTTACCAAAGTGATTCTGGTACCGGTACATCACAAGCCACACGTACCCCAGTCTAACACATACATATTCTCCACCCCACCTCGCGTGGGAGAGCCGATTGTCCCTTGACACTTTCGACTTGCGAGCAACGTTCCTCTATTGAACGCCTCCACGTGGTTCAAACTTTGTTGACCAAAAGCAACCTAGTTCCTGGCCTCTACAGCCGTATTACACCGGCAGTTGGATACTCTAGAAGTAGCATAAATACCAATTAATGATTCAGTTATATATATCTTCTCCAAAGTCCTAGGTATGGCATTGGCACCTGTTGCTGGGCGTGCATGCTGCAATCCTACCTGGCAAATGCTTTGGCTCCAGCTCCCGCTTTGATCAAGCCACATATTTGCTAGATTTGAAAACACTTGTAAAATAGACAAATCGACAACAAAAAATCAAATCATATCAAAACAGTAGCTAGCTTCACACCCACAATGGTTCTCCAAAGGAAATATCGCAGGTTCAAAGGTCTGGAACCACAGCATCTTCCAATTGCAAGAGATGTTATCAACTTTGTGTATTGCAAAATGGAGTCCCTTGCAATCACGCAAAATAAAAATTCATACATTGACGAGAATGCAAAATTTGTCATCTGGTGTCTCAATGAGAACAAACAACCAGATGAGGCAAAGTATAGATTCATAACTCAAAATACAGTTGACGAATACTACCCTGACGAGGTCCCAAAACGGTTGTCCGTGAGATCACACAACAGTCTCAAAAGAATCCGTATGACGTACTCTCTACAGACCGTTGGTCATCTGGCCAGACTTCCAACGTACTTCCACCAGACGCCGACTCTTACGATCTTTTCAACAGACACTTTTGTTATACTCCTATCGGTTACTCAATATTCCAGACCTAACTATTATTGGCCCTTCTAAGTACTCCGATCGTTACTAAATATTTCAGCACTGTTACTGAATATTTCAGGCCAAAAGAACATATTCCTTGGCCAAACCAAGACTAGATAGCGCACCTAAAAACCACTAATTTTAAAGCTCACAATTTCATTATCAACTGATATCAAATCCCTTCGATCTAGGTTAAGTCATAGTGAATTCACTTCACGAAGATCTATTGATCATCCCTTTTATAGTCCACAAATTAAACGAAATCTACTCAACATCATGAAAGTTATTATCAACGGTACTTCCTTCGACCAGAACCCAAAGCACGATGCTCCAATCCCTCTTTACAAGGACTTATCCAAATGGGACCCTGAAGCCGAAACCAAAATCAAACAGAAGATACGACGCAACCCTCAATACGCATCACCAACCTACAAAAAGGAAATCACCCCTTGGGATGGCGATACGGTAGAAGACTACTGCCAATTCAGATTCACTTGGAACGAACTCGAAATCGGACAAGCCCTGAATGCTGCTGCAAAGCACCAGACAATTCTATCTGTTCTCTCCGGTCAAGCAAAGGAGAATTGGCAAACAGTGATCTCTCAACTTCCAGCCAATCAGCAAACGACCCAACAGGGTTTCGACACAGCTATGGAAAGTTTTGCCCTCTGCTACTGCACTTTGGATGCTCGTCAGAAGCAACGTCGCTTCATCAACAAAGCTTTGAGATTGCCCAAGAATATGTCGATCCGAGTCTTCTGGAACAGACTACTTTTCATATTCCGATGCTACCCACATCTCCCTGGAACTGGTACAACACCAACACCAGAACATCGACGTGAAATCTTGATCCAATGTCTGCCTAGAAGTGTCGAGAATGATATGACACGAGGTGACTACCGTTGGGACGATCCTAACAAAACAGACATCGATCTTATCAACTATTTGACTCGTCTCCAAACCATTGATTTCTCGGAAACAAGGTCCATTCCACCGAAGACAACGGTTAGCTACAAAGAAAAAGAAGGAACATCGCGGTTACAAAAAAGACCGTAAAGACGGCCCAAACAAAAAGAAAATTTGTGACTATTGCACCAAGAAGAAAGGCTTCACATTCTATGGTCACACTGAAGACCAATGCAACAACAAAGAAGAAAAGCACAACATTGAACCAATGGAGGTAGAAAACGAGAACAACGTGACTACTCGTTTCGGTCTTTCTATGTCTAAGGAAGAAATCTCCAAGAAAATGTTCAACGAAGGCGACTCCAACGCTAAGGAAATGGCCTCCCTATGTGACAAAGAGCTCGCCGAGTTCCTAAATATCGACGACAACAACGATGACGACGTTAAACTAGTTATGGAAAAACCAATCCCTAAGAAGAAACAGAATTCCAAGTCTCCTAAGAAGACCAAAAAGAAGGCAAAGGAACAAACCCTTGCCAAGGCTGACAACGTAAGTCAACTATTTGCAATTTTAAATGCTAAAGCAAGAAATCCAAAACACTGACAACCGCTCTATCTCCGATCTTACTACGACAGTAAAGGTCACGATTAAGAGTCATTCCAGACTCAATGTATAGCAAAAATCATGTAGCAAAAGAAACAATTTGGTCAACCAACGCTGGTTCTTTTACAACCAAGTCTAAATGTAACGTAACATTCAGTATTCCAGAGTTCACCTCAAGTTGTGAAATAACCTTCCCAATGAATGTGGACGAAAGTTCATACTCTAGCTACGACATGATCATCGGACGTGATCTACAAAACGCACTAGGCATTGACATCCTTTGGTCTAAACAATCGCTAATGTGGGACGGAATCTCAGTTCCCATGAAAGGTTACACAGAACGTTCTGATGAAAACAAAGACAAACTTCAAGCTATGTTTGAAGAGATCATGGAAATAGAACAAGAAGAAGAGCTATACGGCGCGTCCAAACTTCTAGACGCTAAATACGAAAAAGCGGATATTAACGCGGACGTTGAACAAATGAATCATTTATCAGCGCAAGAAAAAACCGCGTTGAAAAGTTTGCTCTACAAATATGAAGAATTATTTGACGGCACTTTAGGCACGTGGAACATTCCCCTAGTCGACTTCAAACACTTAAACCAGGAAGTAAACCATTCCACGCAAAACCTATGCCGATTCCACTCATACATAGAGACACGATCCGCAAAGAAATTGATCGTTTAGTTCGCATTGGCGTTCTCAAGAAGGACACTTCCAGCGAATGGAGCGCTCCTTCATTTATTGTCCCCAAGGCAAACGGGCAATGCCGCCTTGTCACGGACTTTTGAGTCTTAAACTCAATGATCCAAAAACGAGTCTACCCACTTCCAAAAATTTCCGATTTACTTGCGGATATCAGCGGATTTACTTATGCCTCCGCCATTGACTTGAACATGGGATATTGGACGTCCGTATTACCCCGAGTCATTTAAGCTCTGTACTATCATCTTACCTTGGGGCAAATATAGTTACCAAAAACTGCCCATGGGCGCAATGCCCTCAGCTTACATTTTTCAAGAAGCTATGAACCGCCTCATGGAAGGCCTCAGCGACATCTTAACGTACTTGGACGACGTCCTCTGTGTCACCAAAGGTGACTTTGAAGACCACCTTCAACGGCTAGAATTCTGTCTCCAACGGCTCCACAAAGCCGGCCTTAAAGTTAATTTACCCAAATCTGAGTTCACAACTCAACAATTTAAATACTTAGGCTAGTTGGTCTCGCGCCAAGGCATTCGCCCTCTTGCTTTCAAAGTGGAAGCGATTCAGCGGTTGAAACCCCCAAACACTTTGAAACAATTGCGCTCCTTCCTTGGCATGCTCAATTATTACCGTGATATGTGGGAAAAGCGCTCACATATGTTAGCTCCATTTACTGAACTAATCAAATCCAGCAAAAAAGGACGTCCATTAGTATGGAAACAAGAACACAAAGAAGCGTTCGAAAATGTGAAACGAGTGATTGCAAAAGACACTATGCTTGCATCCCCTGATTTCTCCAAACCTTTCACAATACACACTGATGCTAGCGACTTCCAGCTTGGTGGAGTAATTTTCCAAGAAGGAAAACCTATCGCTTTCTACAGCAGAAAATAAAATCCTGCACAAAGGAACTACATGACGGGAGAACGCGAAATGTTGTCCATCGTTGAAACACTACTCGAATACCACAACATCTTGCTTCGCAAAATTATCGTATATGCCAACCACAAAAATCATACAGACCCCATTTGTAAAATTTGCCACTCTACAGAATGAATCTAGTGCAATGGGACAGGTACAATTTGAAATTGCGTTATGTCATATTCAATTTGGGCCACGATCTAACTTTGAACAAAAAATTCAGGTATATCAAAGGACGGGAGTCCGATCATGTAAATTAACACATCATAGATCACACTGACTAATGTATGCATCCACTGAAGGACTACATCCTCATCAAGTGTCTACATTGACCAAACATCAGACCGATAAGCTTTTACAAGCATACTGGTGTGACATGGAGCGCCCGTCCATGACTGTGATGGCAGGTTTCAGAATGGGCAAACCCTATTATCTTCCACAAGAAAAAGTTGGCCTTCCTCTACCAAATATTTGGGAATGCATAGTCAAACTTGTTGGAAGAGACTACAGTAAATAGGAAACTGAACAACAATCAGACAAGGGGGACAAGTCAGAATGTGGTGAAATGTTCTTTTCACGTCTGATCCCATTCCTTATTGAAGTTCTTGTGCAAGATGGGATCTATTTTGTGCGTGATTTCCCAAATCACCAAATGGCGCAGCTTCTTCAGGTAAGCTATTTTTCACCATCGCATTTGAAACTGATAAGAACATCAAGCTTACTCATGATTTCAACTGAACCAAGACAAAAGTTCCGGGCTATACTGAAGAAAAAAGGCGATGGGTCCAGTCAGAATTGCAGAATCGTGAACCTGACCAAATTCGCCGGCTAAATGAAGCATCTGCAGCAGCCTTCCACAACCTGAAGGAACAGGGCACGAATATTCTAGAGACTGTGCAAACTATGCAAGAAAACCTATTGTCTTTAAACACTGAAAATTTGAGATTGAAGAACAATATTGAACGATTGAAGTTTGATCTGAAAGAAAGAGACCGTGACTTTTTTTGGCGGGATCAAGAACACCAAAGAAAGTTGTCAAGAGTATTGCTTCTTTTGGAAAGACAGCAATCAACAATAGTCGCAGAGCCACGCACAGCTACTACCAATGCAACACCAGTGGTGGCAGTAAGGGAAGCTGATGATGGGCGGGCTGCAGCCTCCCCCACTAATTAATCACCGGCCAATGCTCGGACTCCAAGACTTGGCAAGGCCACTTCAACCGCCTGCGCCACAGCAATTTGGGAAATCATGGAAGGCAAATCTTCAAACCTGGCGCAGGCTAGAATTGCACAAGTGGTCCTGGGATGCCAAGAAAGACTGGGACAAAAACACAGCAAAACGATTTGGCAACCTGCGTAATGCCATTCTGTGTCTTGAAGACGTCAAATCCAAAAAGAATGGCACATTGGATGATGCCGCAGAATTTCTTGTCGAAGAGCAGAAGCGACTAAAAGTGAACATCACAACCCACCCTGGAGCAAAGATGAAGGAAAACAGTGCAATTGCCTCAAGAAAGCGGAAGAAGCCAAGGGAAGAAAACAATGATGTTGCTGGAAACGCAGTAATTATCCAGCAACAACCGCAAAAGGCAAGAAGGGTGGGAGGACAATTACCAAATGTACAAAATTTAAATCCGAATGCATGGGGTAGTGGTGGGACAGGGGCCACTACAGCTGTGAGAGCCATGAGCCGCAAAAAAACACATTCTGATGGCAATCGCATTTTTTCACCTGCAGGTCCGATTGCAGCTTTGGCACGAGCACCCCTTAATACGACAAACAACCAAAGGCGGCATTTGCTCCAGAGACAAGCCAGAAAATTGGCTACAGAAATTCAAGTGAGCAAAGCTGTATCGGAATTCACGTCTAATATGTCAAGCGTTGAAATGCTGAGAAGAAGCCAGGAAATTGAAGTATTTTGAAGACACAAACGAGACGAGTTCACACAAAATCAAGATTGCCGCAAACCAGCTGCCATTCCGCGGAAGCGACCAGCAAGAAAAGCAAAAAATGAACACCACTGGACTATGTTCTATTGAAGGGTGCGACAAACCCAGTGCAAATGTAGATCACGATTGTGTCAATCCCAACTGCAGAAATGGCATTCATCATACATGTGCATATGATTTCAAGCTTCACCTTTGGAATGAAATGCAATGCTATTGCTGTGAGGATTGTAAAGAACATGGAAGAGCAATAGGTCATACATAAATATAAATATTCGTTTCATTTCAATATTTCTCTTATACTCTAATACTATGCTGACGGATCGAGTAAAGTTTTGACACAGTAAAAGTTTTGACACGGTAAAGTTTTGACATGACAAAAGTTTTGACACGACGAAAGTTTTATGAATTTGATAATGATTGGTTTACTATGAATTAAATGAAGTAGACTTCAAGAACTTCAATATTAGTAAAGCCAGTAGCAGTAGCCAAAACCTTTTCAGCAACAATCTTGCAGACAATACGGTCGTTTCCGAAGATTGTCGCAAACTGGAGTGTGCCCAAAATGAATTTAATCATATTATCCAAATCCTTGCTGATGTTCCTCACTCCAAATGTGAGGCGTACCATAACCGGGCTCAAAAACAAAGGCAGCCCGTCCGGAAAAACGCCAGCTTCCTGAAGGGCACGACCAATCTTTGTTGCAAGGCCATTGGAAGCTTGGCCAGAAGGATTGTAGAACCACCAACCATTGGCAATTTGGCGGAGGCGATGGCGCCCTTGAGCGATTGGCTCGCCGGAAATGTCCAAGTAGACTGGACAGCCTTTGGAATCGGTGGCAATGAGGGCTTCAACAGTGTGGTCGCAAACGTTGTTCATGATGATGCTGAATGGGGATGATGGCAGGGATGATGAACTGGTCGAATTGATTGTTGTGTTCTTGCTTCAAAAGAAAAAGAAATCACTTCGGCTGTTGGACCCAGACCCAAGATAAGCTCATGTAAAATTCCACGGTATATCTTCGTAGGATGCATCAATTTAGGGAAAGGAACTGAAGAGTGTGCCATTGTTGGTCTCGTCGTTGCCTAATGCTCGTGATGAAGACTTAGACAAACATGAAGTTTTGATGTGAGTTTTGGAAATGAGAGGTCTTATAATGAAAATATGGTGTCGCATAGAATACGTAGAAGTATACCATGGGGGAACTCTGGGGAAGCATGTTGACATGTGCCAGGATGCTATATACAATAGATGTACACTACTTTCTAGTACTTATATATGTATATACAACCTTCGCTCGAGCGATGGATTGCGCATATGATTCATTCGATCGGACATTCTGTCTGGCCGTCTATTGTTGGCCCTAATTCAATTGTTCCTTTGAGCCCCTATTCTCCAGGTATTTGAACCCTTGACCTCAGCCTTGTCTCTTATCTCGAGACCTCCTATCTTTTGCAGTCTGTCTACTGCAGCTAGGTACCTGGTACTGAAACTCAGTATATCACACCATGTTGGCTAAAATAGCCAGTCTGGTCCTCAAAAATGTGACAAGCTGGTTCTGACCCAGCTACCGGTATCCGCCTATCTATTTGTCATGCAAGAAGACCACCTGGATTTTCCACAAGTACTTTGTTAGTCCCAATAGTACTTCATTAGTTCTTACACGCACGTGAATTCCCAACATACTCCAAGTACTTTTGCGGCTATTCAGCTTCTGTTTGGCTTCATCATCGTCTAATTCGGACTCATAATCGTCTTCACAGTCCATGCCTTCATTGACTATCAGATTCCATGTTGATGATGTGCTAGTACTTTATTAATATTTTTTAATAGTGTAAAGTGGTAGCTTTTTAGTCCTTGACTTTCAGCGATTGCTATTTTTTTCATCGTTAAATAAATATCTTTTTGCGATCCATAACGCGCCTGCTCAGCTCACTCCAACAACCTTTTCAGTTGCTTCAGAAAATAGAAAACCATGATGAAGGCTCTTGCACTTCTAGCAATTGCCAGCGCAGCTGATGTATCAAAAGTAGATCGTAGTACAATTCAAGAAAGTTTGAATAAAATGGACAAAGGCAGTCTGTTGCGAAAGGCTCGAGTGCTTCGAAATCAACAATATTACAACGGATCGAACCAAGGAGGCAGCTACCAATATGCCAGACAAGATTTGAATGGCATTGACGTGGATTCTTCGTTGCTTATTGAATTTGAAGAATGTACTTCACTGACGATACTGAACGATGAAGTAATGGCGGGAATGGAGAAGGGCAGCATATTCAAGGCATCAAAAGATTTTGTAATTTTCAGCGCTACAAACCACAACAAGTATGCAAAGAAGCAGTTTGCCATTGACATTCCCACATTTGTCTCCAGTATGGCTGAAACCATTCTGTCAGATAACTACAACTTTTGCCAGGCATGTGCCCAAGCCCAGTACTATTGCGGCTACATGCACGCTGATAAGAATTCCTATGCTAGTAACGGGCAACAAAATTCAAATTCTGAGCAACAGAATCCTTATCGTCAGCCCGAAAACAATAGCAACCAAAACGAGAACTATTCTGCACAAGATAGGTATGATATGTATCGTCACTACAACAATGGGGGAGGACAAAGCAATGGCAGTCACCAATCCAATCAGAAGTCTTACAGACAGCAGTATGGAGACTATCGGATGAATGGAGGGAACCGCAATCTACATCAAGGGCGCCTGAGAGAGACAGTTGATTGCGAAACTTGTCAGAGCGTGTGCGCCGAGCAAAGCAGCACGTACACCCAAGACACCAACAATTATGACAACGACCAAGGGGAGTATACCAACTATCAGGCTATTGAATGGTTGCGAGGACTTTCTAAATGCGAGCAAGTGAACTATGGCAATTACTACAACATGAACGGCCAGAATGGCAATGGTAGCAAACAAAAGCAACAACAGAAGCAAACATATAGCCAAATATACAACGAGTTGTACGCGGGTCTCATGTGCAATGCGGATGGCACTGGAATTGAAGTTGGCATCTTCATGGATGAGGAATGTTCTGTTTGGAACCCATCCAAATCTTTCATGAGCATCTTGGTTGAAGGCACACTGCCATACTTTTACTACACCAAAACGAAGAACCTTGTCCAGTTTATTTTCACAAAGCAGATTGGCTGTGGCGAGACAGAGTACACGGTCCCCTACGGCGACGAAGGGTACGACAACGGGCAAAATTACAACAGCTACGAATATGATAAGTATGGTTATTCGCAGGCGAATGACGGCTGCCAATACCTCTTTGAAGGAAGTGTTCTCAATATTGGAGGAACATGTGCAAATACAGCCACCGACGACGACGGTAACTACGCATCACAGGATGTCATCACACAGGATGGCAAATATACATATTTCAGTTCTTCTGGATGGTCAACATATCAATATGATATAAGTGACCAGGACAGCGATTATCAAGTGTGCACTGCGATTCAGAATCAAGTGGACAATGGAGACACGCATACAACTAGTACTCAGTCCAAGAAAGACAATCTATACACGTACAACACAAGAACGACATCCTTGCTTGACGGCTCTAACTTGACTGGCGAAGATTTATTCCTCATCATTTTTGGTGTCATTCTGGCAATTGTTATACTTTATTTTATCCGCAAGAGATACTTGCGTCAGCAAAACGGCAGGACAGAGCCACTCATCAGCCTTGGACACGACATGTCATGAAAAAAGAGAAGCATGCTACAGATTTTTTGGAGTTGATACAAATCTGTCTATATCGAATCTGCTCGATAGTGCAATGTTAGTCTAGCAGTGAAAATAGCCAGCACAAAGATACACACTATGTGACAGTGGAAACAAATCCAATAGACCACGCGTCACACCTTCTAGATTTCCCTCTTGACTTTGATTGTCTTATGGCTCTTGTGGATGTGCTCTTGTACCCGTAACACAAGATCACTCTTCTTTCCCGACAACTGTTCCCCAATTGAGGACAGGTATTTCTTCAGTTTGGGTAACTTGCAACAGTCTAGTGCGCCTTCTTGATGTAATTCCACCCAATCTACACCAGAATCATCCTCGATCATTTTCCGCTTTTGTCCTGCTACCTTAGGCTTTTCAGCATCATCTGGCAATATTACCTTGAACTGTTCAATTTGCTTTCCGGCCGCTTAAAATACGTCCTCATCAGGTACTTTGGTATCAAATTCAGTCCTTGCTTCAAAGAAAGGATCTTCCCGTTGCTATTACCTCAATATAATAAAAAATCTATGCAATGCAGCGTTCTTTAGATCTTCACCAAGTTGTATATCCTCGTTGACAGTTCGTTTCTCAATCACACCCATTGCCGCTTGCACCAGTTCATCCGAGGCAACATAGTCAGTATGAGTAATTTCCATAAGATATATGCTTGTGGAAAGAGAGGAAGTGATATCAGGAGCTGCATCCCTTGTCTTCCAAATTGGCACCATTTCTATCCAAACCTTCTGTCATTGTCGACTGAAGGAGGAGTGTTGGGATATGACGAAATATGAGTTTTTACGTTCCAAAAGAAACTATTCAAGTACGAGGTTTTCGACACGTGCGATCGGACTTGTCGGGATTCGACGCAAGTCTGCCGGACGCAAGTCTGTCGGACAATCTGTATCCACACAAAAAGGAAAAGATCCTATACAAGTGGAATATTGATGTTGTGTACGATGCAGTAGGGAATAATGCAAGATATCCCAAAGTACTGCATTCAACACAGAATTGTCGTTGAAGTCGAATCGAGTTCTGTAAACAAGGGATTTTCCAAGGGAAATCGTTGAACTCACTTTTGTGATTGAATCATCAATTCAAGCCAAACATTAATCAAATAGGAACAATTTCACTCAAAGTATACCTAGACACAGGAGAACTATTGTCGTGAAAGTGTTGTACAGTCAATTACAAATTTAGATTGCAGAGAGTTTGTTCTGAGCGCTAAAGGCACTCACGACAGAGCACATTTTGCTTTATTCTAACATTCAATCACAAAAGGCAACAAAACAAATTTACGTCAAGAACAGCACTGCCTTATCTACAAAGGAGTGAGTTATTCGTTGACTATGGGACGTTCTTCTTCCGGTGGAGGAAAGGGACGTGTGACTCCTCAGAAAGTCAAGAGCAACTTCAGTTCAACAGTTGTGAAACATCTATTTTCAACGAAAGATGAAAACGATGGAAAGGCAAGATCGTCGTACAAAGATGCCAAAGAAAGAGTGATTGACTACATCCAAGCTTCTGGAATGAAATGTTCCGAAGACATGGTGAAATCGATTCGAGATGGAAAGTCGATCGACTTCAATGCAATCACTCCAACATTGAATACTCCAACTCAAACTGAAGCTGTTGCAAGAGAAACAGAGATGACTCAAAACAAGATTCTCTACTCTGCAAAGCTCGACGAGAACATGCGAAGATCAGCCTACTTCAAAACGAACAAGCAAACTGTCAAATCAAACATCATGCTGAAGTTTGTGACAAAGGCGATGGATACAAGCTTTGAGGTGAAGCCGATTTCACGACTACTCTTGAAGATCCAATCAAACTCTTGAAACGTATTGAACGATTTATGAAGAAGAGTGCTGATGCTGAGTATGACTTCTTGGATTTCTGGGAAGCCAATCAAAAGTTCTTTGCTATGAAGCAAGGAACAACCAAAAACTTGATGCATTTCACGGAACGATTCTTGAGACAGGCTGAAGTCCTGAAAGATCTATATGGCGGTGCCTGGTTCCGAAATTTTGCAGTCAAGACGAAAGCGTATGCTGCTGTTGCTAGCACGGATACTACTGCTAGAGACAAGTTCAAGGATGATATCTTTGAAGCAGTTTTTGCAACAGGATTCCTGTGCAACTGTGATCGAACAAGAACAGCTCCTCTGATGCTGGATCTTCAGACGAACTACTGCAGGGAAGTGGATTATTATCCAAAGACGGTAAGCAAAGCACAAGATATGTTGAAGATTCACATGGATGTGATTAAAAATCCGGGAATGAACCTTTACCAAGGAAAGGACCAACCTAATAAAGGTAAAGGTAAAGGGAAAGGGAAACCGAAGGATGGAAAGAAGAAGGCAGCATGTTATGTGTGTTGCAACAAAGACCATATGTCTCCAAAATGCCCAGACAGACTGCTACCAAAGAACCAATGAAAAAATCAGGATCAATTTGTTGACTATGGGAAGATGCTCAATCTTAATCAGATTGGAGCAACTGTCCCAGCTACTGTTCCAGCTATAGTTCCTGGAGCTTCAGCATCCACAAGTGGAGCATCGAGTGTTGCGGGAAGCGTTAACACACCTTTGCGACTTGCTGGTACTAAAGGTAATCAAATGATCCAAGTTCCTACAGGTAATCAAATGATGCAAGTTCCTTCGGGAATGCAGCTCATGCAGATTCCAACTCAAGGTGGCGGCACTGTTACTGTCCCTTATTCTATGAATGCTAAC